TTACAATTTCAATCATATTTCATTATTGACACTATATACATTTTTGTATGCTATATTTATCTGGTAATAAGCCAATGCCTGTTAATAAGCCCACCCATATATATTGCAGTTCAGTTATAACACCAACAGCTATTACTTTCATTGTCCTGAAATAAGCCCACTGTCTGACTTTGAGTCAGAGATTATATATGTAGCAGTGATTTTTCTAACTCTTATCCACAGGGGTCTGTGCCGATTTTGGGAAATGAAGTGATTCTGAACAGCATTTTCTCCCATACTTGTGAAAGACAGGAATTGACCAGTGAAAAGATAAACCTGTCTTTCCGGAGGGAAAGACAACATACACGCACTATGATTTTACGTCGACGTTTGAAATAGTTCCATTGTTTTAGCTGTGAAATTTTCATCAATTTGTACTTATCATAAGATATATTTAACTGATATATTACAGTCGTTGAGGTATTAAATAAAAATATTGTTGATGTTGTTCTTTGAAGGGATTTCTGATTTTTTGTTCACGGATCACCACCCATACGGAATCAACATATTTGTTTTCATGCGCGTCATGGAATACAGGCATATGAAGGTCATAGAGTATTGACACTGGCATGTTTATTTCAAGTATGGGAGAAAAAGAGTCAAACATTGGTATGGTCAGGAGACAGGGAAATATCTCAACCCTTGGGTAAGAGTTTGTCTGTCCAGCACACGGCAAAGCCTGGACAGCCTTATAACTCTTACCCTCAGGTTGAGATTTCCCTGTCCACGGACCACACCCATGAAAGATTCTATCATTCTTAACTGACTGGCAACAACGCCATCTTGAATCTATGTTGTCATGTCCATTTCTTAATTGTGACGTCACAATTGAGCAAACATCTTTCTAAATTAGTTCCATGTGTAAAAATAAAGAGAAAAGCAACAAAATTTTGAAATATCTAAAAATATTGCATTATTTTCTGAAGAGTGGCATTAAACACTTTTCAAGCTTTTATAATACATATTCTTGGAACAATAATAATTGACCAATGATATCGTAGAAAATCTCAACACTATAGTCTTTGAAAAAATTATTAAGTGAAAACCTAATCTGAAACTCGCACGCATTCCGATGTGACTCACATTTCCGAGGGAGGATACAGCCAATAAAGCTGTCGTGTAATTAAAGTAAGTGGCCTAATAACGTAAATTAGTGTAAAACCTGATTGTAACGCAGTGAAACCAACCGGCTGGAAAAGATAAACAAATGTCATCCTCGTCCAGGTGACGATATTGATTACACTGCGCTCAACAGACAATTGTCTGTGGAACACACCTCTTGAAGACTTAATGAATAACACCACATCTTCAAACGTAGCCATGATCCAGGCTTAATGACAAAAGGCTTTGCGTGATTCACCGCCATTCCAAAGCTCTGTATATAAACGTATAGCTCATAGGATATGTCACATTGAGCTGCAATCATGGTCGATTCGATATTCGTTATTCTGAAGATTCATGCAGGCCATTCTTGCTTCCATTGAAAACCTTATTAATAACATCTTGAGAGTTAAAAAAAAACAGGCCTTTGGCCAAATGAAGAATGGTAATCTTGTCAGTGCCTCTGGCTACCTAGCAACAAAGTACAATGTAACAATATGACAGAAGATTATAGACAGGGGAAAAAAGCACAAAGGCCTAAACTTGATAAACGGAATACAAGAAAATCTGTTTAAAACGAACCTGTACTATATAATAATGGGTTTCATCAGCTTTAAGCTACTTTCCACTTCTGGATATAATACAAAACAATTATATCTAGGTATATCATAGAACCACGCAGCATCAACAAAAATCGTGTGTTTATGGTTTCATTACTGAACCTATTTCTAACAGCCGTGTCAGATTTTTGAACCAATTTTGACAAACAATGTTAATGACAAGATTCTTGTTCAATAGAACCTATGTATGAAATATTGTGACAAAAATAATAAGATTCCCCTACCTACACTGTACTATATATCCTACGTTTTAGAAAAGGGTGAACCATTACTTCTTTTAGGCCTATACATATCATTTAATCTCCATAGGAAAATCAGTGTTTTTTGCTGCTAAAATTTTACAACAGCCAGTTCCTTCATGAATTGGGAAAATGTAGTATTATTTTCATTGAAATTGGAAAGATATACCTCAATTTTCGTTAATTTTGGGAAAATACAGCACTTTTGCAAGGGGAAACCGCCTGTATTCGGATGTAAAATTAGGCCAAAAAAATCGCTGAAAATCAGTTCCCTATTAGGGTTATGAATGTTGTAATAATTAAAACTTTGTATAGGATGTCTGAAATGAGTATTATGGCCAAGTCCCCGATAATGACAGCTCTCTCATGCCATGTGTATACGTAACACAGTGTTGCACCTGTTTGATTGATTTAAACATATTTTATTTGCAAATATACAAATGGGATCACCTGGTTGCACCTGTAGCGGACATCCAATAATACAAGAGACAACAATCGAAAACCTGCAACATCTGGATCACCTCAATGTTTTATGTATTTCACAGAGCTATATTTACACCCGTGTTTACCATATCGGATATACAGGTAACTAACGAGCAACACACAGGTGGTTGAAATTGATTCTGTAGCACAATTGCCGTCACTACAGGTATATATACGTTAGTGTAGCACAGGTAGGACAATTGATACAGTTATAAGTACAGGTGAGTGCTCCCCTTTCAGGTGTAACAAGCAACACAGTGTGTCATTGCTGTTGTAACACAATATTTATTGGAGCAATTAGGGAAAGGATTTCAGCAGCAATTAAAAACAGCCTCACCAAGAAACCCTTCAGGGCAATATTCATTCATATTTCAGTCGCGGAATTTCTACACCTGCCTTGCAGTTCAGATATTGATTGATTTACAGAGAGAATTACAAAAAGTCTGTGGCATCTATAGATTTGATCATTGATTAATTGATTCTAGATTTTAAAAAAATCATTTTTTATCCAAAATCAATTAATTCATGATAACATTTTAAGATGTCACAGAATGTTTTTCAATGTAATTACTAAAGCCAGTAGATTGTTTGTTTAAATGTTTTCCCAACAAACATGGTTTTTAACATACTATAAGTATACTATGTGCCATTTTTATTTCCGAAACTTCGTATACTGTATAATATGAAATGTTCGTGTTACAACTTTCTTTTTTGGTTTGGAGGTTTAAAATTATTTCGTTGGTACAAACTTTCGTGGTTAGCCCGTACAACGAAATGTATTAATTTGGTGTGGAAGAATAAAGTTCATTTCTTTATACATGTAGAATCTACAACATTTTCAGTATTAAAAGTTTTTTGCATACGTTTCTTCGTTGATGTTATATAGTCGTAATTATACACGTACAACGTATACTTTTGTGTGCACTTTTTTGAATGAAATAAAGTTCATATCATTTTCACATTTTCGTCGTGTACATTCTTTCGAGTAGTAGAAATATTTGATGTATTTATATTTGTGGTTCCATACCAACCATGCAAACAACGAAAGTTTATACACAACAAACATTTTATGTTATACTGTATCTCGTGACCAATTATACAGTGAGTTTCTTTCCTTTTTTTCCCCCCTAATCATGATTTATGAGATTTAGTTTCCTTTCATCAAGTGTTAAAGTGAAATAGAAGTATGAATGTACAAAAAAATCTCTTTTCATTGCCAAGATTTTTCACCTGCATAACAAAATGGGCATTCTTGTTTCAGCAGGCTAGGTCTTACTAATTAACAGACCCCCCTTCCTATAGTCTTCTTTCTAAATCAATCGCACAATCCTTCAATTTTCACTCAACAAACTTATAATTCAAGTAAAATCAATAATATATCCAGTTTATATTCCTCTTCTATTTAAGTTTTCTCCATATCACCCTCTCATGTTCCTCTACCGAACCATTCAGCCAAAAAATTGATATTTAGGTCCGAGTTACAAAAACGGAGCCTGTCATCGGTCTCACCTTCCTTAAATTTTTATTTTACGGAATCAGTCAAGAAGGTGAATACCAGACCTGTCTCTCATCCAGTCTTCCCCAGTAGTGTATACCTCCCAATCATATTTGATGGTCCTACATTTAATTAACACCGACAAGCAAGGATGATAAACGACCCAACGGACCAGTGGAATTTCCTCTGGACCACATGATCAATGGCCATGCAGACTCGCCATCACAACAGTGTTTATTATTTTAATGCTTTTAGTCTGTTTGCCTGTTTTTGGGGTCCTATTTCAATCAACTCTATACTATAGAAGAATTCTGGTAAACCTTATTGTGCAAAAAATATTAGATTCTTGATAAGAATTAATGTAGACTAACAGAACAGAGTTTTTTTTTAAATATTATGAACTTCACAACTTGGACCTAAAAAAAATCCTCACAAATTACTAAAATTTCACCAATTTTTTTATTGCATGCATATTAACTGTCAACATACTTAAGTCGTTGTTTGTTTCATGGATAAAAAAAAAAATCATGTTTATTAAGTATTATTTTAAAGACCAGCAAGAAATATTCTCTCTATGTCAATAGATAAAATCATCCATTTTCTTTAAAGCGAAACACTCATGTCTGATAGAAAATGTCAGATTTGTCATTCATTCGGAAGCAACACGAAGGACAAATGTTTGAGGGTTGTATTTGTTTTGTAAAGATGTTACATGGGTTCAGCAGAATTCACATGACAACTTGTATATATATATATATAGTCGGTCGTTAGTCTTATTTTTTCTATATATATATATATATATATATCATTAATGATTTTCTTGTGTTGGCTTTAACGATACTATCTTGAACAGGTCATGATTACATCATCTGCAGCAATGCCATCCACCATCAGAGACCAACCTTCATCAGGTTGTGAGGACTTTCTCTCAAATTTTGTCATTAAATGACACAAAAAATTTCATTAAAACATGAACACGTCCAAAATGGGAAAAAAACAAATTAACACTAATTAGGGACTTACCCTAATTGTCTCCTCCACGCTGTTGAAGGCACATGTCATCTGTTGTCTGCTGGAAGCCATCGTAACGATATTAATCCCCGTATTTACAAATCCTCCGTCAGAGCATCTACACTGACATCACAACATGGTACATGTTTTCCCCGTTAACTTCATGTAGATCAAGATCTGCTTGCCATCTTTTATTCATCACTGCAAGTAAAATGGTAGCTGGCTGATAATTTGATAAAAGACAACACTTTTCATACTTCACACAGACCCTACATGTTATATTGAAGGCAGAGAATACCCAGCAGTTTTGTATCAGCATCACACCCTGCTTCTGTCAAGTTAATCCATACGACGAATGAAAACAAAACCGAAAATAACATGCATACATGGGAGCGAACTCTTGCTGCGTCTGAGTCACTCGGTACAATGTTGCAAACACCTATGGTGATATAACCAAGTAGCATTTTTCTCTCATTGATTAAATAGCGCTGTAACAACAGTATAGCTAGCTGTAACGGTATATACACACCACACCAGGCTGTAGTACCTTCAGCCTATCGTATCCGTGTATCAACCCAGCGTAAGTGACAATATCAATTTCAGTGAAGCGTGCTGCCATTGTTTGCTACTGTCAGCGATTTCAATACTTTACAACTTTAAAATTTAACCCTATGTGAATCTTGTCACTCATTGTGTCAATTTGTATGATAATATCTAAAGGGGCTTCAGATCAAGTTTAAATCTGACGGCCACGGGCAAATACAACAGGCTCTTAACACAAAGAAAAACGATCAATTTACCCCTGTTACGATAACCCACTTCATCTTCCCTTTTATGTTTGCTTCAGTCGATAATAAAATATTGATACATTTCTAAATTTTACTGCGATGGATTTCTTCAGGGAATTCCATTCATGCAAGAAACAGCTTCAAAGCTACACTTCTTTTGCCATATGGTTCCTTTCAATAGGACCTGTGTGAAATATAACCTTATCTCCAGTAAATATTATGCCAAGAAATTATTTTTTAAAATTCATAAATATCTCAAAACATGCAATGTCAAACCATTAAATATTTTTCAAACAGAAGTTTTTACAGCAAAAATTCATGGAATTCAACACAAAATTCAACAAAGAAGAATTATTTCCACCAACAGTCACCATAGTTGTTTATTCAAATACCTAAATCTCTTACGCAGAATCTACATCACACATTTAGCTATAAACGTGGCCTTTATGTGAACAGACATTATAACACAAAACAAATTCAGAAACTCAAACATTTTATCTTTTACACTCTCTTATGGGGCTTAACTCATTCACCCCTGAAGACACATTTGGACTCTTCCAATTCAAAAGTTGGACTTGTTCATTATGAAATTTCAGGGTAAATGAGTTAAGTGATGTCTTAGGCACCTAGCTATAAGAACCAACATGATATGGTAAATGATACACATGCTCCTTATAGACAGGTATACCACAAACCCAGTAGCTATGCTAGGACAATTCAAAACCCTGAACAGTCCGTCTTTATCAATTTCTAGGGTTGATGCCTGTCTATAACAACCAATAGAATCATAAATATGGGCTTTATAGACAGGTATAACACAAATCCAGTAGCTATGCTAAGACTATTTAAAACCCAGAACAGTCCATCTTTATCAATTTCTAGGATTGACACCAGTCTATAACAACCGATAGATTCATAAATATGATTGTTATAGACAGGTATACCGGTACCACAAATCCAGTAGCTATGCTAAGAGCTATGCTAAGACAATTCAAAACCCAGAACAGTCCATCTTTATCAATTTCTAGGGTTGACACCGGTCTATAACAACCGATATATTCATAAATATGGGCTTTATAGACAGGTATAGCCTATATCCAGTAGCTATGCCAGGATAATTCAAAACCCAGAACAGTCCATCTTTATCAATTTCTAGGGTTGACACCAGTCTATAGCGACCAATATATTCATAATATGGTTGTTATAGACAGGTATACCACAAATTCAGTGGCTATGGTAAGACAATCCAAAACCCTGAACAGTCCATCTTTATCAATTTCTAGGGTTGACTTCGGTCTATAACAACCAATATATTCATAATACGGTTGTTATAGACAGGTATACCACAAATCCAGTAGCTATTCTAAGACAATTCAAAACCCAGAACAGTTTATCTTTATCAATTTCTAGGGTTGACACCTGTCTACAACAACCAATAGATTCATAAATATGGGCTTTATAGACAGGTATAGCCTATATCCAGTAGCTATGCTAAGACAATTCAAAACCCTGAACAATCCGTCTTTATAAATTTCTTGGGTTGACACCAGTCTATAACAACCAATAGATTCATAAATATGATTGTTATAGACAGGTATACCGGTACCACAAATCCAGTAGCTATGCCAAGACAATTCAAAACCCAGAACAGTTTATCTTTATCAATTTCGTGGGTTCACACAGGTCTATAGCGACCAATATATTCATAAATATGATTGTTATAGACAGGTATACCACAAATCCAGTAGCTATGCTAAGACAATTCAAAACCCAGAACAGTCCATCTTTATCAATTTCTAGGGTTGACACCGGTCTATAACAACCAATAGATTCATAATATGGTTGTTATAGACAGGTATACCACAAATCCAGTAGCTATGCTAAGACAATTCAAAACCCAGAACAGTCCATCTTTATTAATTTTGTGGGTTGACACCTGCCTACAACAACCAATAGATTCATAAATATGGGCTTTATAGACAGTTATTTTTTATTGTCATCTTTATGCTTCTTCTTCCCTTCATTTATGGCAAAATATGCTAAAGTGTCACTAACAAACACAATATTTTCACTAAAAATAGTCCTTAAACTTTTTTGTAATAAAGATAAACGAAAACTAAAAACAAGTGGCGAATATGTCTTTTTTAACACCTATGATCTTTTGAATACCCGTCCAGTAACCCTTGGGTCAGAGGTCAAATCTGATTGTTTTATTCACGTGGCCAATGAATATATGGATCAAGTAATGATGTTAATTAAATTTCAAGTTATCTAATCAAATTTAACAATGTTACACTTGCCTAGCCAAAAATTGGCTAACTTGTAACTACTGAAAACAAAAGGCCCATTGGACATGTATTTCTCATGTTTCTTTTCGTGTTTTAAGTAGACAAGATGTTGATTGAAATATTTCCGCTAACTTGAGAGCATGATGGCTATCTAATATATCTGATTAACCCAAAGAATGAAAATAATACTTGATAAAGGCAAATTACAGGAACTTTCGAACAATGATATTTGCAGGTTTTTCAACAGAACCTTGACAGCGAATAACGCAGGAATATAAAGTTAGTTCTCTTTTTTGAAATAGGGGAAAATATGAACTGTAGGGGCATGACCTGTTCAACGTGGGCTGCAGGCCGAAGCCACGGGGACAGTATGAGACGAGGCATGGATGACATCTTAAATTTTTGTTTCTATCTATTCATTATAGATGCTTCAAAAGTGTGTGTGACGTTTTGATATTGTATACAGTGTGGTAAAATATCAGCAGTGACAGTAAACATGAAAAAAAAGGGAAAATGAAACTGACGGGAAAAAAACAAAAAGGAACGAAGAAAGATATTCATGAAGTACAGTATTTTAGATACCATTGGGCAAATTTTTAACTGAAATAGGGGGGGGGGGAGCTGAAAAAGAGGGAAATAAAGCTGAAATAGGGGGAAATAAAGCTGAAATAAGGGGAAATAAAGCTGAAATAGGGGGGAAAAGAGCTGAAATAGGGGAAATAATGCCATTATTGTCGAGGGGAATTGACCCATATTTCCATGCTTGATATTATGATGATTTCTTATTTTCCGCGACTCTTAGAGTTAAAAAAAAAAAAGTTTATCTGACAAGTGTTAAAATTTTAACCCTCTTAGGTTCACAGAAAAAAATCTTATTTCACTTCTAAAATTGCTAAATATCAAGGGTCAACTAAACACCCTGGTTTATTGGAAATTGATGGAATAAAGAATTGGCCAGAAAGTTCACAACTTATCAGAGGCTGACTTGAAGAATACTGGCCAAACAACAAAAATCTGCAAGACAGTATAAGAATTTTTCCATGAATGAAAGTGAGCAATGAATTGCAAAAATGTTACTTGTTTCCTGAAGAAAAAATAAACAATGCTCTAGGAATTTGTTGTTGTTATTTTTTGTTTGTTTAATCTCCAAGCATTTCATACTGTCTTTTATTTTCTAATCTCAAAGTATTTTACCGACACCTTATAAATATCCAAACTGATCCTTTGTCAATTTGTGTCAAATAATATCAAGAGTTGAATAGGAACTGAGGAAGAATTAACCCTCAAAAGTGGAAGACTATAACCTTAAGGAAAACACCTTACCTGGATTAGGTAGTGTTTACACAGACATCTAGCGATCTGAATTAGTGTCAAATGCAGAAAGACTTGTTTACACAACACATATTTATTTACTTACACCAACCTTGGCAGATTAATACTTAGGAGCACAAGTGTTTTTGTAGGGAAAATGTTTGTTTTTAATGCAAAGATGAAAGAACATAAAAAAAAACATGACACTCACAAGATTTCAAATAATAATTTTATAAAGGAATGTGATCTTCCTTATAACACAACTCTTTGCCTTTTTCATGTTATGCAATGAGCTCATGTTTGTTTGTGCTTCATAACTTTGGTATTTCATTTCTTGTCAATTTGCATACTATGATATTATATCAAGCTAACTTATTGGATTTTTTCATTTTTTTCTTTGTTATAAACATGTGCTGTTTTAATCTGCATGCTGCAATATGTGAAGTTACTGTATGTTTTCTTTTCTTTTTAATTTTTTGTCGTAAGGCCATTTTTTTGTCTATTTATCTCATTCCTCCCTGAAGACTCATTTTAACTCTTCCAATTCAAAGGTTAGAATAGTTCACTATGAAATTTCACGGGTGAATATGTTTGAAAGATATTTCATACAGATACTGAAGAACTTTTAAAAACTTGACCTTGAACCCTTGGACCCGGTAACCTGGCATTTGGTCAGTTGACTCCATGTTAAGTTCCGACCAACTTTGCTTCATGATGTCATAAAATGCTCATTAATGAAAAGCTACATAATTTGACCTTGACCTTTTACCCAGTGACCTTGACCTCTGACATGATGACCATGACTTGACCTTTGGTCAATTGACTCCTTGTTTAATTCTGATCAACTTTACTTCATCATGTCATAACAAAATGTTCATCAGTGGAAAGATGCGAAAATTTGACCTTGACCTTAGACCTAGTGACCTTGACCTCTGACCCAATGACCTTGGCCTTTGGTCATTTGACTTCTTGTTTAATTCATATCAACTTTACTTCATCATGTCATAACAAAATGTTCATCAGTGAAAAGATGCAACATTTGATTGACCTTTAAACCTAATGACCTTGACATTTGACCTTGACTTTTTCCCTTGGTGAGAATTTTTGTGAACTGAAAAACTTGAGCAGGTTTCATGTAAATCGGTCGATAAATACCAAAGTTATCAGCCAGGAACAAAATTTGTGGATAGACAGACAGACAGACGGACAGACAGACAGGTGATTACTCTAGGGCACCTGTATCTCCGATATGGGGCCCTAAAAAGACTTCATGTTCTGCTTCAGGATAATGGGTTAAAAGGATGTATAACATTTTCTCTGACCCCAGTTTATTATTGATGATATAACTGACTTTATGTGAACCATATCCTAGTAGTTTTATCCATATGCAAAAAAAACAAAAATGTAACATCTTTATAAGTCTCTAGAGGGACAAAGTCAGGAACCTATATCTGTCTAAAAATGCAACTAGGATGCTCTACGACAACTTTTGGCAAATTACCTAGTATAATTTAAACATGGCACTGAAACTAGCCATCGTACACATATATCTTTATAGCATCAGAAAAAATTGTTCTTGGCCTGTGGACAAAAATTATCACTGGCAAGCAACCCTTATGATTATTTTGTACAAAACACTAAAATATTGGTGAATCTAGAGAGGGAAAAAACATTATAGGTTACAAAATGCTAGGATTAACATTTTTTTAGAAATTAAAAAAAATTATCAATCACTCAAAACTAGACAAAAATAATTATTTATTTTTTCTATTGTACTCTTTTAAGTTATTTATCTAAATGTATTTACTCCTGAATTCCATCACCTCTTTATTGCTTTTTTCCAGGACAGTTTTTTCCCTATTTCCAATTGGAATGAACGATATTTAAAATTTTAATACCATCCCCAGCCAAGAAAAAAAAAAAGATTTTTTAAAGATTTTTTAGCAATTGTAATTACAATGTATGTTGCACTACAGCTAAATACCAGAGAACTGTAAATGAACCGATAAGCATAATCAAGAAGATTATTTTCACTATTATTACCAGAACTCCAGAAAATCAGCAAGTCACATTAGGACTCTTTGTACATTTAACACCATTTTCTAATTTCACCTAAATAACTTCCTATTGTTAATCCAGTTTTACTAATCAATGTACTTTATGCAAGTGATTTATTACTTACATTTGAGGCCATTTACAGTGCGAGTAGTCGTGTTTGTATGTGCGCCTATTTAGAGTTGTGAGAGGTGTGTGTCTGTGAGTGTATATATAATTGTATATGTGTGTAAGTATAGCATGTGTGTTTATATCGTTGCGAGCTAGGGTTACATTTCTTCAAACTTCATTTAACTTAATAATCGTTATTCCAAAAATCATTCAAACTCTTAAATTGTAAATCTATATCAACTGTCCAATATACATGTTAACATATTTAATGTACTATTTTACCAGTAAAATTATGTATTTAAGCATGGATATTAAACTTTATATATTATTTTATATTTATATAGATGTTTAAATTAACGATTTCATTAATTGTATAAGAAAACAATACCATTACAAAAATAGAAATTTCTTTTCAAACAACACTTTGAAACTCCAATAAAAGTATAACTTGTGGAAAAAGATGCAGCAGGGCGAAACCATTTCTCCTTGTAATGAATATATATATCTACAGGCAATTTGCCAACATAAAGATGGCTGCATGGAGTCACAATGGCAAAACAATATTATGTCATCTATCTTCAAGTTTTCTAAGAAAAACATCTCCAGAGGCCAATTTGTAATCATTAACGATAACCAACTAAAAATGGGCAGGGTTAAACAGACTTTTTTTTCTCCATTTTATTTTTCATGTGTAGCTAGAAGTCAAAATAGTAAAGCTCTCTGCTTGAAAATACAAAATGTCACTTATTTCCATTATCTAAACCTGGGAATATTTTGTAATGAACTTACATCAATCATAGTGTGGATGAAAATTTGAGAATATTTCTGCTAATAATTCTGGGATAGAATAACTGACAAAGCACTTTTTTATCAATACCTAATTAAGGCTTATCTCGGTTTGTAAAGAAGTTAATTAACATTAAATGTATTAATGTACGTAATGTATGAATTTCATTTTAATTTTCTTGCATGTAAGAATAACGATTTATCATGTTTTGAAAAAAAAATATACAAAATTGTATTACATATAATTTTCATTGGGTCAATTAAAAAAAGTGTTTAAATCAATTTAATTCTGTATTGTTTTCATTAGTTCATCTCACAGCTACTTCAGATACTGTACGTGTATATTTAAAAACATCATAAAATATTTCAATGATTGTATATTTTGGAAGCAAACAGGGTTTTCATCACATAGTCACAGGAGAAGGCTCGCCCATCTCAGCATCTGTCAAATGTCAGCTTCAGTAACATATATAACAGTTACGTGTGATTCTCAAGAATACAGAATATGCTCTTAATATTTTTTTCACAACTGCACTTTTAATATATTATTAAGAAGCATTTACTTGTCAAATTACCTTTTTTCATGTCGGTCAACACCTCACGGGAAAAAAGTTGTGCAAAAAGCATGCTATGCACGAGTTTTGCTTCGATGTGAAATACGTCACCAACTTTTGTGTTTACATTTTTTAATTCTATATTTACTGGCGGGATATTCCAACGTTAATCGGTTTCACAAGCTAATATTAGCCACCTCGCCTGTCTGAGCCTATTTTCGCGGGAAATACGTCATCAAAACCGTAAAATCAGTACTGAACAAGATCAATAATCGTCATCGATGTTTGGTCTGTGCTTGTTACCTACGTTGCTATACTACACAGACTTGTCTGTCAGGACAAGGCTTGGACATGTTTTCAGCCGAGTGACCTTTGACGTTTCGTCTCTTTGGCATATTGGCACAATGATTGGCTTTCAATAACCGCGGGCAAAAGAGATTTTGATTTGATTGGTCACCTCAAAGTAGGCGGGCCTACGGTAACTAAAACGGTAACATCTCGCGCCAATTTAGTAGTATTTCGTAGATGTACGTTGAACGGTAAATATTTCTGATCGGGTGTAACTGGAGGATCGGATAGACAAATTATTGCAATATTCCACACACCCATGTGTAACTAAAGGACCTATTCACTTTCTGGATGCAGCACTTGCAAAATACCTCACAAACGTGATAAAACACTCCGTCATAGGCCAAAGATAGTACATTGGACTCCAGCCAAGATTCAATGAAGGCAGTCTGACGTACGCCGGCTTGACATGTAAGTGTTATTCGACAATTTTGTATTATTTTGTTAATGAAATGAAGTTCTCCAATCTCAAAGGAAGTAGTCTAACTAGCAGGTGTTGTCAAAACCGTTCTATTTATTCACAAGTTCAAAAATTTATCTGAGTCAACGTTGACCTACATAAGTCTGTACATGTAGGTACTCGACTCGAATCTGCTAATTTACAGTGAAAATATACCATTTAAAGTATATAATAAACAGTCTAGCTATATTTCATGTCACACATATTCAGGAACATTCGTCATTCTCTTCGATCAGCCGGTACATATTTTGTATTATTGGTTGTAAATGTTACACCCCCTTCAGATATTTTTTCCGCGAATATTTGGTTTATATTTTGACCCAGGGTCACAGCCCCGATAATGCTATGATTGTTTGTTTTAATGATGTTACCGCTTTATTTAAACGAAACACATTGTATATGGATTAATGATGAAATTGAAAATATATCTACAAACTGTAAAAAGGTGCATTAATTTACTATGTTTTGATTAGATACGCGAGGCCATAGGCTTCAAACAGATCTCAAATATACATGTTTGGGGCCGTAAGGCATACGATCACGCGCCAAATTCGAACGCGCAGACATTCGCCGCTATTTTGAACGCTATGACATCAGACACCGGAAAATATTTGTTTTGCTAGTTACGATTTCTATAATCAATATGGAAAATTGGATATTTACAGATATTCTCGGTAAGTAACAAGTACAACGCTAATTCAGGTTCTTTTTCGAAGCTGGCGTAGCGAATTTTTTGTTGGCGCCTTAATTTCTGTGATATGACAAGTGACATGTCTCGTCACGATCGGTGTGTGTTGAAACATCTCATATTTTGCGAACCATTTGTTTACATTTTATTTATATTTTTCAAATATTTTCATTAAAAATGTTAAGATAACTCATAATATCTGAAAATTACGTACTGATGTCTGCTATAAAGCGGGAATGTCTTTGGTACGATTTTTGTAGCGTTACAATAACAACCAAACAACACAGTCAACAACGTTATATTTTGGTTTCTTAGTGGTTTATTATCATATCTTTTGTGAAATAAACACTGTTTATGTATGCAAAACAGGTCGACAAACATCAAAATAACATGAAATTTTCATTTGCTTACATCTTAGGACAGAAACACGGAAGAGTTGTTGTCATTTACTTGCTATCCGAAACTTCGAACATCCAATGTTAAAAATTGACATCACGGCCGAAATGTTGGAATAAACTAATAGATCTATCTAATTGCCCAACAGAAATTACATTTTTTTTAAATCGAATAATAGAAAAATATTCTACAGAACTGTATCAATATTGTACATGTATACTATATGATTTGGAAACACAAAGTGAATTCTTAAACTAAAACAAAATTGAAGAGTGAAGTCAAACTAAAACAAAATTTGGAAATTAAGTTTTTTAAAGTGTTGTTGTTGTTGTTTTTTAATATTGTTGCCTCAGTGCCTTTTCTACACGAGTTTTACAGCAACTTGTTCCTACATAAATTGGGAAAATATAGCAAAATTTGTCATTGAGAATAATTAAGGTCAGTATCTTTGGAATGGGCACCTATATATATATATATTGTAGGTTTTTTTTATAGGAGATGGCGAGTTCCTTTTATATAAAACACTGTTGTTGATGTGGTACATATTGCTATTGATCTCCGTCATCTTGACACGTTTGAAAAATAGTACAAAATGATTTTTAATATTTATATTAACACATTTAAAACAAAATTCATGCTATTTATATTATATATTTTACAGATTTCGACATGAGTGAAATACAGCTAGCAAGATCCTTGCTTCCCTCACAGGTGAAGTTAGAAATTGCTGATGAAGGACTTGACAGTGAAGGAGATCAGGAATCTGATCGAATCCCTTTCTCAGAAACTACAAATAATCAACCACTCTCAGACATTGACAGAATCAACAGATTAGTGAAGAATAAAAACAAAGAAAACAAAGACAGTCCAAAGCGAGTGTCATCTCCGCGAGCAAAATTAAGACAGTCATTAATTACCAATGTCAAACCAGAAGAATCTTCTAGTTCTACAGAACGTTCTGTAACACCGACCCCAGAATCTGATGATATCCAAGCACCCTTAACACCTACTGCTAATCTTAAGATGCTTTTCAGTGCAATGAGCCCAGAAATTAGAAGTCGAGACAAAAGAAAAGAATTGTTTCATGAAGAGCCCATTCAAGACAAAAACAAATCTGTGCAAGTTGATGAACTTGAAATTGAAGGAGATGCCTGTCCAGATTTAGATGGAGAAAGTTGGAAACCTGGATCAAGAAAAGAAAAATCACTAGGACTTTTATGTCAAAAGTAAGCAGGAATAGATTATATTTCAAGAAAGGGTTGTCAATTATTAAAGAATTCATGATTTTCATAATGATGATATTGTGACATTAACATATGACATATGTTGGATTGTTCTGACAGTTCATCTAGCCCGAAACATTTCTCAAAATCTTATAACAGCAGACTTGTACTCAAAATATGAAGATCAACACCCCTGTGACACATTTTCTACTATTTAATAATGTAGTCTCCAGTCCAAATTAATAACAGTGATAAATCTACATGGGAGTCCTGAGTCCTGTACTCATAGAATTTTTATGGGACTCGCAGAATTTCTAGAAATACTGAAATAAGTTAATTTTCATTTTAAATGTATGTTCATTGTTCAAGTCGAAAAGAAATTCTGAATAAGTTTAACTAAATATGTTGTCTTCTTGATTTTCATTCAGTATTTATAATCTGATTTCAGGTTTCTCCAGAAGTATAAAGAGTTTCCAGGGATAAACGACAGCAGTGAAATATCTCTTGATGAAGTTGCGAAAGAATTAGGTAACTTATATTCAAAATTAGATTCAACAATTAGACATTTTTAATATATATAGATCTATCAAATATTAATAATGCACCAAAGAAATGAAGATGCTCCCTTATATGCTGGTCACAAATTTAACGAAAATTATTATTATGTCATGGAAAGGTGCAAAACAAGAAAGATACAAGTTGATAATTTCCGTACTTAAAGTTACTATGACATTTTGAAATTACCTTGAAAATGCTAGGTATATGTGATGTTATGTTTTTTTACTTCATTATATCATGAATTAAATGTTTATTATTTCACAGCTGTTGAGCGGAGGAGAATCTACGATATTGTTAATGTCTTGGAAAGTGTTGAAATTGTCAGCAGGATTGCCAAGAACAAATATGCCTGGCACGGGAAGACTAATCTGATCAACACGCTGGGAAAGTTGAAGGTACAACCGTTTGTTCAATACTGTACATGAATAGAAACTAAATCACTACTACGAGACCGAATAGAACAAATCTCATCAGCCAACAACAAGTTCTGTAGGCTTAGATTCCCCTTCCTCATGATCACCAACAAAATCAACTTCTTTAAAGTTTCATTATTTGAAATTCATAATGACATGAGATATTGTGTTTCACTACGTTCACAGCCTTGGGACACATACTCGGTGGGTAGCAAAACACTGCTAACAGGTGATCTGTACACATTTTACAAACCCATGCTGTGCCACTTTGCAGTTTATGATTTCTACTGCGATATATATATATAGAAGGACTAGTTGATTTTCTGGCCATATAAAGACCCTTTCCCTAGATTGTTCTGAAAATAAATGCAAAAATCACTCGGATTGTTGAACTAAATAATAAGTGCTGTTGGTGTATTCAATTTATTATTCAATCACAAATACTGTATGTAGTGTAGTTCATTTGTGTCCAAGAATTAATTATGTGGTGGTTCGTCATGATCATATAGTTTACAAATAATGGTGTACAGTAATTATTCATAATTGTCATGAAACTTAGAATATGATCACTCAGATGAAATTCTAAGTAAAAATATACATTCATTTCCAATCAGATATCAAATTAATAAAATTATCCAATGTTTTTGGTTTCTCTTATTTTAAGCTAATATTTCATTCTAATTATTTCTTTAGGCGTTGGGTGTTGCGGAGGGTTTTGATGAGCAGCTCAGGAATGTGAAGGACTATGAATTGAACCGTGAACTTGAAGAACAGATAAACAGCAAGGATGCTGACCTCAAAGAATCTGGTTTAAAAGGCAAGGGTACCCCAGCTGGTGGAACAGGTATGAAGCCGTGTCAAGTTATTGTGAAACCTTCTTATACCGCCAACATTTCATTTTGTTATGCAAAGTTTTGGCATTATAAAGGGGTGGGTTTATGTATCGGATATTAAAGACAGATCTATATAAGAATTGATGAAGAAAAGTGACATTAGAAATGTTCTGTATAAAGTGGGGTGGTCAATAAAGTGAGAGAGGCAATATATTGAGGTTGATACGTTTGCGCCCTCAGAATATCTTGTTTGAAACAAATTTCATTCTTTGTGGAACAACAAAATTATGTTCAAAATTCTAACATCTTTTTAAATGAACGTAGCAACACTGAAAAGTAGCTTACAGTTGATCTTTTTGAATGACTTGGGCATGTAAATTTTACAAACTGCCCTTGACACTTTCCAATCAAAGTAAACTCAAAAACAAAAAATATAAACGTATACTTACTTGTTGAGGTGGTACAACTTCATCCAAATTATTTAAGTTTTCAAACCACTTCTCCAAACACGTTTTATCATGAATTACAAAATCATGTTCCAGCTTTGATGAGGAAGGACAAGTCACTTGGAATCATGAGCCAGAAATTTCTGATGTTATTTCTTGTTTCCCAGGTGAGTGTAGATAAGTTTTATCATATATATATATATACATGCAGTGTTCCCAGACACCCCAAAATCAGATGGTTGTGTACCCCAAGTTTTCAAGAATTGTCTGATGTAACTAGGTACCTAGGGGTTCAGAATCTGTAAAATGTATTAAAGATACCCCCAAATCTAAACTTCAGTAGGGAACAAACACTGACATACTTATATAATCATCAGTTAAGAAAAATCTTTGCGAAAAGTGTTTAATGTTAAACAAATCACTACTTTTCTGTAGACTTTGTGATGTTTTGCCATTGTCTAAAAGATCTATTTAAAACTCCTTGCATTTGCTACCAGCTTTTCAAATTAGCCAAAAGTCTGTTTCTTTTGTTAATGATGGTGTTTTGTTCCTACCCACACACTTGATATAGGGAGATTCTTGAAATGTTCAGCTGCAAATGTTTCATCAAATTACGGACCAGAAGGCCTAAATTTCCAAAAAATGCAGAATAAAAAACCACTGCACTGACATTTTTTACCTTTATCTTTAATAAGTATCATTATATATTTGATGTGTGCTTCATACTGTTTGAATGTTTCTTTCAGCCAAAGACAGTAAATCTGGATTTAGCTGCAAAGATTTTAATTGGTGATCCAAATGTAGACCGGACAGAAAATTCCAAATTCAAAAGTAAGTACACTACTAAAGTTGAGGTCAGAGACAATCAATTTTGGATTGGGTTACTCAGAGTGATTGTCTCTCTGACTGTAAATGACTTTATTGTCGTGAAGAGAAACTGAATCCTTTGGTTGTACAAGGCAGTTGCATGTATAATGCATAATGACACCATATGGTGACATGCTAAGGTCAACCTGGTCAGATTCTTAAAACATCAAAATTGATTAAATTTCAAAAGAAAAGTGTCCAATAAAAGTGTTAGAAAATCTTGAAGACTACCATGTTTTCATACAGGCTAAACTGGTTCATAGTCTAAGTTTGTGGTCAGATGCATAGAAATGATGCAGAAAGTTGGCACCAAAATAAATCTTGTTTTTGGTGTAACATTGTATTGAAATGTTAATGAATATGAAAATCAGATTTGTAAACAGTACTTTGTTCTTTTTTTCTTTTCAAAGCAAAAATCAGATGTTTGTATGATTGAAATGTCCATGAACATCTACAGTTTCAATTTTTTCATATTTGTTAACAGTCGTGTATTTATGTTTTTTACAGCAAAAATCAGACGATTGTATGATATTGCCAATATTCTCACTAGTCTGGATCTCATCCGTAAAGTCCATGTCACAGAAATACGAGGACGTAAACCAGCCTTCAAATACATCGGCCCAGATGTAGACAACTTGAAGGACATAAGTGGTGGGTACCTTGTTACAAGTATGATTTTAGGGGGAAATATTTGTAACCCTGTTATTAAAGTCATTTAACCAGTATTCAAACTTATTGATAGACCCATAGACAATCCCCATGAAAAATCACTAGGTCTATGGGAATAATTTATTTCTTAATCTAAGTTGTCTATTTCCTATGATGTGTGATATTAAGTATAGTGGCATTAGCAAGCAAAAAACGTGTTTTGGTTTTAATTTTTCTTTGTTTAATGTTGTCAAGCACTATATATATATATATACAATTCAAATTTTCTTGGTAAAGGTCACCTCTTTCTAAATTTCAGTAGGTCTATATAAAGTCTGTATTTCATGGACCTACAGTATTCTCTATGTTGTGTGTACATTCTAAATTCAAAGACTGCATTATGGACTATTACTTGTCATGAATTTCTAGAATCAATTGTGGTTTGAATCGGACATTAAAACTTTCAAAACAGGCCTGAAAATGGACTTGTTAAACATTTTTGCACTTAGCTACATAATTTAAAAACATCCATAATTTGCTCATTTTATTGAATTGAATTCATTTGTCTTATGAGTTATGCTTAATCAATCATATACTGTTTGAAAAATAGTGATGAGAGTGTCGAAGTATGATATATATATACAAGGATGTGTGTTACATTGTTGTGTTAAAGTAAAATATTTCTGTTTTCAGTTTGTTACAACGATGGATATCACAGACCCAGTTCACGGCATTCACTGCTGGATTGTGTCAAAAATCAGCATGGTAAATATCTCAAAACAACAGAATGGCTAGAAAAGAAAACAAAACTTAAACATTAAATATCCTCAATCTTATACATGTAGTTTTAATAAAAAGTCAATTTTGAGTCTCCTTTTAGCTGCATTTTAGTATTTGATTTACTTCATATTATAAAAAAACTTCTGCAAATCTGATGATTATGATGTGTTTATAAGTTACAATATATATAGATGGTCTAGGCACAAGCAGTGACAAGAACTTAAGAAGGGGGAAGGGGAACCTTTTAGAATTCAATAAAATTTATCCCAACTTTTTTCCTATTGCAACACTGGTATCATATCTTGATTCAATTTTCAAATTAATTTACCCATTAATTGTAATTACCCCAAAAAAATCTATTTGAAATGGGTAGATATTATACTACATTTCCTGATAAAGGAAAGGATAAATGAAAAGGATATATATAATATAAGTGTGTCGATGGAAGAAGGGGAGACAATTTTATTTATAAGTATTGCCCCACAAGTTCAGACTTTTTTTTTTTTATTGATTATTTTTATTTCTTTAAGCTGTGAAAATGAATTAGGTAAATAAATCTTTTCAGCTCCTTCTGATTTGGCATTGACTCGGAGCTAAAGGACCCTTAGAAATTGTAAAGATGTGTTTAATATAAATTAGAGAGAGAAATGTGTCCTATTCGGTTTATGTTAATGATATCAGTACATAGCTGCTTTGGAACCATTTTTAGAAATGGTTAGCACTATCACTGATAATATAATTGATCATTCATGAACTGGGTTAAAGATGGATCAAAAGTTTTATTCAGTGTATATATTTTCTGTTTCAGTTGCTGATTTGGTTGGTCCCTACAAACCCATTAAACCTAGCTTTCCCCCAACACCTAGTGCTTCTGATGGTATGTATGCTGACAATACTTTTTTAAGGATTTCTTTCATATTGATAACATTTCACTGGAAGCAAGCCTGCTTTTACACTAGGCCCGTTACAGGAATAATCCTTTGCTTAAATCTAGCGATGTTATCAGAGAGAAAAAATCAGGAAAACCTAAGCTAAATGAACAACCATGAAACTGAGGCCAGTTTTTCAACAGTTTCCAAACCAACCTTTTTCTTTGAATATGTTGAAATAATGATTCTTCAACATTTTCAACATGTGGAAATTGTTTTTGAAAACAATGTTTCTAAAATGTCTATTTCATATACTGTATCACTCACTATATATATCCGTGCAGACATGTAATTTGTATACCAATTCAGTAAAACCCAATTTTAGTGATAATTTTATCTTGCATAGCATAAATTTCTGATTGGTGACCTAATTTCTTACCGGGCTGGGTCCATATTGAATGTTTTATGAGATGTTCTTATAAAATCAAACTATGGTCATGTTAAAAATTGTTAAAAGCATCATTTTGAAGATCATTTTTTTTTTACTTATAAAATTTTAATTGAGATGGATAAAAACATTAAAAAATGTTTCTTTCGGCAATAACCATTTCTATTGATTAAATTTAGAAAAAAATCTTCCAAGAAATTTTGCAAGTTTTATATATTTGGGGCATGTTGAAGCCAGTGATTTATAAAACATTTATATTTTGTTTTCTAGGTGACCAAAGCACCTCATCAACTCCAAGTCCTGATATTCCAGGCCTGAAGAAGTCTTCCTTCCGGCGCAATTCCTCCTTCGAGCAAATCTGCCAAGTAGCAGAGAAGGAGCGCCACAGACTGTATGCTTCCATGTCACAACCTACTAGTCCAACTTGTGAACAGCCCGAGGATGGTAGGTTTTATTTTTTTATAGACAGTTTAAAAGAAAAAATTGTATAGAGCCAGGGACATTTCAAAGCCAAAGGTTATAATATCCTATTTGATTCCTCAGTAGTCCTAGAGTCAAACTTCATTCTGGTGGTATCTCGCTGTTCTTCAGAATGTGTTTTATTCGAAATTGTGTCCTGAGGATGCACTTGCTTATAAATATACCCTAGAGCTTTTGGGGGGGGGGGGGTAAAGTTGAACATTTTGCAAAGTGCAGATGTTTTGAGAATATATTTAATATATATTGTACTAATTTGGAGGAAAATGTATGGTTTTAAACTATAAGTAACAACTGTCAACATATTATGTTTTAAAATGATGGAATTCTACTATTTTTCTTTGTATTCTTTTTCACAGATTTCCCCAAGAGCTTAAGTCAGGAAGATGTACATCAGAATTCCAAGAGGCAGATCAAACCAAAGGGAAAACATATCATTCTACAACAAACAAATGGCGAGTTTAAAATAGTCAACTCCGATGGCACTGGACCGGCCGTCACTCACAAACTCCCAGTACAACCGGTCACCACGAAAATGGTCAGTATTGCCATGCCAAAGGAATCGAGCAAAGACATGCCAAACCAACCGGTGGCTGAGACAATTGTTGTGAAAACATCACAGATTAATCAGAAACAAGCCACCTTGATCCCCCTAACAAAGGATCAGATTGATGCTGTGCTAAAATCTCTCAAAGTGCCAGTTCCTATCAACAAAAATTTGAAGAAGCCTGGAGAATTTCAGGAAATCGTAGATTCTTCAAATTCAGCAACAGTGCTTGAAAAACCAAAAACAATTGTGTGTTCTATGGAAACGATTGTGTGTTCTCTTGACAGTGCTAATAATAACAAGAGGCCGCACAGTGGCAGTCCAGACATGGATCCTTCAAAAAGGATCCGTATTGAATATTCCACTCCTCCATCGGACAACGACTCTACATGTGACATTTCAAGTGAATCTACCTCTCCAGTTGTCCAGCAATCTCAGGTGAAGCAATGCATCGGCAGTAATATGCAACAAATAGCTGTTCAGTTGCCGAACCAATCGCCAACCATACTCCAGTTTCCCACTGGACACATGACCCAGACCTCTGAAAACTGTCATATTGTCCACACCCCAAAGATGAGCCAGTCTAACATGTCAAACCTCACCCCACAGATGCAAATTATCCAGGGCGTTCCACTCAGTGCCTCCGGTGTTCAGGGACAACCCATCAACTTCATGGTACCAATCACATTCAGTCCACCGCTTACTCCACAGAGCGGATCCTCTAGTCCGACTATGTTCTCGTTCCCAACCACTCACACTAACCAATGCACCTTCTCAACTGTGGAACAGCTACAGAGCATGTCCATGGCATCAGCAAAACTGACCAGTCCTGTTCCTGTGACCAATCATAGTTTATTGACACCAACCGAAAGACCAATACTATCAGCCTCCCAATTTATTACACCAACAGAGAGACTGCAGGTTCCGTCCTCCAAATTCTTCGGTTACACTCCCGGTGGATTCCTGAGCGGAAGCCCATCCGTGTCCATTATGCCCTCAATGACCAAAGAGATCTCAAGTTCCACGGCAAGGAAACTTGATCTCCCAGATATCGCCAGTGTCAACTGTTAATAGTGCAAAGACAATTTACCAGTAGTTATTATTATTTGTGTCTACGAGATTTTGCTTGGTGCATGGATTTACAAGCTTGTGAAAAGGAATTCTTCAGAATAGATGTTAGTTTTCAGTTGTGTGTGATTTTATTGTTTTATGATTGAATGATTTTGATTGTCCGATATTTTTATGCATTTTGTTAATTATTAACTATCCGAGAGTGTACATGCAATGTGTAGAAGGAAATAGTTCAAGTGCCGGAATGTTGTCAAGAATGACGATGTGCACGTGTGTGTATATATGTTGATGTATTTTATTCAGCTGTATAAGTGGGCAGTATATATGCAAGGCATGGTAAAGATAGCTAGTCTATCTCGAGTCATGTTGTCTGTTGAGAATTAATTATAATCAAACAGGAAAATGGTGTGGATGTTTAAATGAATTTTATTTTTATTTTTTATTTTTTTAAAGTGAGATTTTTAAGTAACTAGAAAAATTCCATGGAGTTGTGTATGTAGAATGACCAGAAAACAATGCTCAGAGATAAGTTAGCAACACTGTGATACCATCCAACACTATTTTAGTTTGTTAGGTTTTTTTAATTAAAAATTTTTAATTTCATTCCTTTATGATTGATTTTTTTTTTAATTCATCTCCATCATCATCGTAAATTATGATTCATTGTTGTCATCACTTCTCCTTGGTTCAATGTTTTTTTGGTTGTTGCGTACCTTATGAATTATCACTTGTTGCATTCAATGTATGTTATGAATATTCATTAGCTCATTAGTGCCAGATTTTTGTATTTATATTTCACAGAAATATATATATCATCAATTTCAATCATTTGCATCCAAGATATGGTATCAAGAATGATTAAGTATTTTTAAAACTATCTCGAGTCACTACAATTCAGAATTGTTAAGTTTTTAATATTTTAGGTTTTTTTAATGTATTAATTAATGCATCTGTGCCTAATATCAATTTTGCTATAAACTAATTTAAAACATGCACAGAATATTTTGTATATATATTATTATCTGTACAGGGAAACCTCCACCTAATATAATAAACTATTTAATGATATCCTACATTTGTTGAGTCGGGTTGTTCTTTTACTACTTTTACAATTACAGTACATTTATATGTATAAAAATTAAACCAACAAAAACTGCTCTGAGCGGACATCATTCTCGATCAAAGAGTTCCGCTTCCAGTAAACATCTTTGTACCCGGCTTGGAATATGTTGTATGACAAAATCGTAGGCTTGCTATATATCTATAAGTCATTTGATCGGTTTAAGACATTGAAAAAAATTACCAATTGCGAAACTGATTTAATGTTATGAAGCTACACAAATTCTTGTTGGGTTTTTTTCTTCTTCTTTCATTAATCAGATAAAATGTACTTCGGAATCAAAAAGTTTGAAGATCATCATAAAAGGTAGCGCTTCAAGGACCTTTAATTTTGTCATGACTTATTCCAAACTTGTATATCAATAATGGACTTTCCTATAAACACCCAAGAAGCCTGGGTCACAATAATTGGCGGCTAACATTGCATGCAGGGATGATGAGTTGTAAGTTCATGATATCCGACACTTTCGAGATCACAGTGTTCAAAACATTTAAGGAACTTTTGAAAATCAAGTTTGTGTGGCAGAATGACCTTGACCCACTTTCTATGTAAGGTGTAAACTTTTAGTTAATCTTCAAATAATCAAGAGGCAACGGGTCAGTACGGTAGGTTGCTAGAATAAAGGGCTGTAAACAACTTTTTTTAATTGAATCACATTGAAATGTTTTCATAAGGCTACTCGTGTCAAATATGATAACACATTTTAATAACCTAGGGGTTTAGGGTGATTGAAGGGTTATTAAGTTTGGTCAAATGAATGACCTTGTCTCACATTCAAGGTCAATTTTATTAAAACCTCGCCTTTTACCAAGGCAACAGGGGGTTTGATTCCCTATCAGATGTATAAAGGTATGGGGTCGCCTGCCTGACCACGTGGGTTTTCTCGGGGTAATTCGGTTTCCTCCCACATTAAGACCCCTGCACACTAACACACGGGCCAACAAGAGTGATTAATATAAGTTACAATAACTTGTTTCATAATTGTTGTAAAATAAATAAAGTTCATATATTCAAAAAAGTTTAAACCCTCGAAACAGGCTCATTTGAATAGCATGGAGGTCTAAGGTCATAATATTTGGCCGGTAGAATGCTAGGATGAACAGCTTATTCAATAACCTAGACCCACTTCCAAGGTCACAGTGGTAAAATATTTTTAACATTTCAACTTATTTTGAGTAAACAGGAGGCCTGTGTTCTTTGGTGTGTAGCATGATATTGGATGAAGAGCTACCAAGATCGCTTAAAATCTTTAACAAATATTCAGAAAAATCTCTCAACAAAGATCCATATGATGAAAAAATATTATATTTAGCCTTAAAAAACATTGCATTGACCAACTTGGAGGTCACAGATTTAAGATGAACTGCAGATCAGTAATACAGGCCATTTGGGCCTCTTGTTTACATAATCCACCCAAAAGCACCCCAGGTACTTTGAGTGAAAGTAAACCTGTATTTGATAGAAACAAATAATGTCATTTTTACGGCACATTTTTTTTTACATGTTTACAAATTATCAAAAATAACAAAATACAAAGCTTTCAGTAAAATATTAAAAAAAAACGTTTTATAAAGAAATATTAAAATCCGTTTCTGAGATAATAGAACTAGGACGTTCCACAACCAATGGTGGTTGGTTATCATGTTTATCTAACTTGAATTACTTAATTTTCAAATTGTATAAAGACATGAGGTTAATGTATTATCAGTTGTCTGGGTTATCAAGCCTATAATCTCGCACAGTAGTCACACTTGCCCAGGGCAGGGTCTGAATTATTGGACCTTTTAGGGGTCAGTGATCAGGGAGATGATAGAATATTGTTCAATAAATAAATAAATAAACAAATCAATATGGTTGGAATGATTATGAAGCACTTATTATGGAATGTTTTTATAAACTGATTTCTGTGTATACATCGGTTATAAACGAAATTTGAGGGGGAAATCAAATTTTTAATCTAATATGGTCCGATAATATGAAATAAAATATAGAAAATTCCACATTCAAATCTAATCGATCTGGCCAAGAGTTACGATTCCCGCAGCTATGAATTATGATACATGTACAGTTTTTAATCTTCTCATTAACAAAATCTGTTATGTCATTAAACTATTTATGTAGGTAATTTTAACTACATGTCAAATGTTTAAAACGTGTTACTTCCATAATAACATGAAATGAGAACAGAGTACATGTGTTTAGAAGTACCACAGACTTGGAAAGCAGGAATTCTAATTCCGTGGAAGTACGGAAAATATATGGTATGGGGAAGCCTGCACACAAAGCCTCTGGAAGCCATCCGCCATTGCAGCCCAGTGTTTTAAAAGACTTCTGTAACTCTGATCAAATAATTTTCTCAAATTTACCCGTTATTGTTTTGATGGAAAACTAAATGTGAATTAAAACTATCTTCATACCACGGAATTAGATGATCTAAGTCCGTGCTTCAGACAGTCCCAATAAAGTGGGTTTCTTTGAGACAGACATGAAAGTAGGGCCTCGAGCAGAACCTTATATCGTTTGTGTGTTAATGTTATGTGATGAGAAAGATATAGATTTGATACTCTACCACAGGGGTCTGCAATTCTGTCAAAAATAAAAATAATGTTACTATAAAAACATTTGTATTCTAATAGAAAAAAAAAAAGATTTAACGACCGACTAAAAACCATCTGCTTTTACCCTTCACATGGCTCTTTATTATTTTCTTATAACCCTATATATATATATAATTACTATTATAATTAATTATTGACATAATTCCGAACTACATAATATAATTATAACAAAATACGTACTGGTGCATTATTTAGGCGTTGCTTAAAGGTCTTATAAACGTAACAATGGGAAATATGTCGGTCAATTTCGAACAAGTATACGTTAAAGAGACACAGGGCACTTTGTATATATATATTCTTAAACGTGGTAATAATTTTATATATCATTGAGAATTGTACATTGAAGTTTGTGAAATTTCAATATAATTTTATGTCATGTATTAGCTTCTCTCTCTTATAGCCTTTTAAAGCAAGTTTTTTTTAAGTGAAGTGCTTTTAGATGCATTTTAATTATTTTTAGTCTCTCGTAGCTCTTAGAGTCGCTTTGGTCATATGTTTTATTGTATCATTTTATGCGGAAGGTGAGACTCTAATAAACTATCTGTATCTGTATCATGCTTATAACGTCATCCTAGGAGACAGGATAAATTTGAAAACTAGACGGACATGTTTTCTTTAAACATTTTTCATTGTGAAACGCAAATAACAATACGTTTCAGTTAAAAAACAACTTATTAATGAAAACAGTAAAACAATTGATCGGCACGTGACAACAACAAAGCAGTGAAAAAACGTCACCACAAAGAAAATCTAACAATGGAAGTCTTTTTATAATATAAGTTGTTTTTAACATTCATTAATTTTGTCTGTCTTTGTCTTTGAAAGATAAATGCCACAATTAAGAGATAATTAATAAAACTTGTGTTCATGTTTGAAAGAAAGACCAAATTACAATACAAAAATTACTATCAATACATATTTAATTTCTTTTGTTAATACATAGACAATGATACCGGTTTTCTACCAGGTAAGTCCGGTAAAACAGATACCCCGGTGTGACATTTCACAGGTACGACACACCGTTTCATATGTCGGGATCAAAAGAAATCAGGCTTTATTGAAAAACGGTGTTAATTTACAACATAGAGGTATTTTAAACCGTTTCTTTCTCAAAGCACTATCGATAACTGCTACCATTATATACCCCGTAATATTTACAGTAAAGATTACCACGTGGTCTTTCATCTCGCGCGGGGCGGCGCTCTTTGAACGCCAAGACTTATCGGTCGTGGTCATTACGACCGGTAAACAACTGTCAGCTCGCGCGGATCATTTTGAGCATAAACTACATTTTGTATATGTTAGATTACGTAATGCAGGGGTGATTATGGTTGTCCCTTAGTCTCAATTTTGGCGGGAAACTACATATAATTTAATTTGGCGGGAACTTATTAGTGGAGATTATTCCCTTGATAATATAATGCACACCGCATGTTTTTGAGATGATTTACAAGAATGTTTGTTCTTACGTGTAGCATGTTTCCAGCAGAGACGTGAAGTTGTTTACTCCCAATTTGCTGAAGAATTTTGTAGTCCCGAGTCGTATTACACCACGGAATTAGATTATTATCAGAATGTTATCTAAGTCCGTGATTACACTAACTTAAAAAAAGAAATAAATTCAATTTAATTTAAACAATATTTCATTTAATCAGAGACGTATATGTATAATGTATACGTCTCTGATTTAATAATCAAGCACGTTTGTTACATATACACGTTTATGAATCCTCCCAGCCCCAAGAATGAATAAATAGATGAAAATTAAAGTAAACCACGGACTGAAATCAAATATAATTTCGCCATATAATAAAAAAGAAAACAGAAATAATTTCAAATCAATTTGCTTCAGGACGAACCTGTTACATGTAAGTTTTAGAACATCTCTACGGAGGCGTATATATTGCTAAAACACAATGGAAGAAATAAAATATAAACGATAGTTTCTACATAATAACATTTATAAATGTATTACTTGTTTAGAGAAAAATTCACATTAAGTTATTTTCTATTTAAGAGGCGTACATATTGCTAAAACACAATGGAAGTAATACAATACAACGTCTTCATAGGTCTCTATGGATAAACACGATTTTGCTTTAAATATCATCGGAATTGGGCAAAAATTTGAAACATTTATCCAGACCCATAGAATAATATCATACAGGTATATATGGGAAGAAAACCCATTCATGGGCGGATGCTGTTGAAAAGTAAAATATATCAAAGTTAACAGACCCTAAATATAAGATCGGCTCAGGGAAACGATTTGATCTGTTTACAAATGTGATGGACAAATGTAATTCCCCTCGTGCGGGGGCTAATCTCCTGCCGT